TGAGGCAAAGTGGATGGTGATTTAAATCACCAAGTGAAAAGCCTCAATTTAAATAATTGATTTTCATCAGCTTTTCCATTTGTGCTTCAGTAATTTTCTAAAGAAAGGTGAATTCTCAGTGTTTCATATCACCATTAAAACATGTTGATTTACAACTAAATAGTCTTTACACTAGATTTGGTACATGTTTTTGCTGCCTACAAAAGGGTACAGTATAACTTTATACATTTATTTAAGCAGCTATGTAGCTTAATATTTTCAGATTCTTAATTGTATATTTTTAGTATGTTACAAAATGGTGAATAATATATTGCTTATTTACTACTAATGTGCCATATTTGTAAAGCTTGACTTTCAAAAGTTAGATGGTTTTCCCCTGCTTATTTCTTTATAGAGAAAAGCAACCTTTAACTCAAAGTTTTTGAAAGAGGCTCATGGATTCAGCATATTTATTTTTTATTTCAATGTTGTAAGAGATTATAATAAGTCTAGGCCTTAACATATTTTGTATGAAATTCAGATTTAATTTTAAAAAGGTTTATTTTTAAAAAGAAAAATGTATTATAATTTAAATAACAAAATTAAAACAAATCCAATTTAAATAAATCTGTGATTTTTATCTATCCTGCCATATGGAGCCAGTTGCAGGATTGGGGTTTAACTTTGCTCCATGTGTAGATGAGAATGACGGAGAGCAGCAAAACAAAGGTTACCGTTTTTTCTTTTAAATTTAGGAATGTTGCCACTGTTACACTGCAGTGGGAGTAATAGATATGGTGAATGGAGTTTGAATGTTTCTCGTGGTATGGTACGTAAAATACTGATTCTTCACTCTAAAGGTAGGGAGTAGAAGTTTGGTGTATTAAAAGTTAATGTGAAGCTAATTTAATGGTAGCATAAAGAATTCCCATTTTTGATTTCTTGTCTTCATCTCTTCTTGGAATAATAATTCTTGTGGACACTGAAGATCCCATGACATTTTTCATAAGAGTAGGGATTTAGGGGTATGGTATATCCTATGTCAAAATTCCACTCTGTCATGGTGGTTTCCTGCTGCCCTCCCCTCCAGAAGTAGATGCACTTGCTATCTGTCTGTAGTTTGTGAAGGGGATTGAGATCTTTTGAAAGGTGTTATATAAGAATGAAAGGTGCTATGTAAATGCTAGACTATCACTTTTATTTATTCTTATGAATTCTGGAATTTCTGTGGGATACCATGATTTGCATTGCTTGTGGTCAGCCAGAAGTGTTTTTCTAAATTGAGGCCTTGATGGACAGCAAAATTAGTCCAATTCACAGCTGTCAGGACTCTATAAGAAACCAAACATGAATCCTTTTGCTTGTTTTAGATTTGTGCATGTAAGTTTTGAGGTAGTATAATTCATTTAAGTGTGAGCAAACATCTGCGTAGATATCTGCATACATTTCACAGCTTTGTTTACTTGCAAATCTCAATGCAGACCTTTGTCCCATACAAATATTCTTTTTGATACAATGATATACAGAGGCTTCAATTATAACACAGGTAGCAGAAGTGATACATGCTTGCCCTGCACAAAGCTGATGCAGGGTATAACTAAGTATAATCTAGTAAATTTAAAAATAGCTGTCAAACTTTAACTGATATTTTTCAGAATGTTTCCAAAGTGACAGTAACCTTGATGAGAAACCTGCAGTTGTGTTTGTCTAACACAACTGATTGTTGCATGGAGCCACTTTGCGTTGTTGAGACTCTTCAAGTTTCTGCTTGCCGTGGTTCAACAGTGTTGGCAAATCTCCTGATTCAAGCTGAAATATATGCCAACTCTTCCTTTACAGGAAATGTGTCAGGTAAATGTTTAGGTAGTTAAAAAGAAATCAGTATCTTGGCTGGTTCTAGTTTAATTTTTGAATATTTGTATGTATTCCTTGGCACTTCCCAGTGTGCTAACTCTTGTTGCCCCAAACTTTAATGTATTTATAATTTATAGACAAAGGATTAAATGAAACCAACACATTCATTAACATCAGTTGCGCCAGCTAGCATTTCACCCCATAATGTTATTTACAGTTGTATCTTTTGGGCATTTGCAAAATTGACTTAATAAGGTAATTACAAGCTAAACTACCTTTGCAGTTCCATTGCTTGTGAGGCAAACTAGTAGTAATTGGTTGTTGTTTTTTTTTCAATTAATTATCATTATTTTTTTTAAACAGAAGAGAAGTGATGATTAAAATATATTGATGTGGATATCTAACGTCTGATTTATTTTAGCAGTCACTTTCCATCTGTTCAGTTTTAATGGAAACAGGATTCTTCTAATCTTTTAGGTTAGACATGTGAAGTTGCCTGTTAGAGGGGAGTCCTTAGTGGGTTTGGTTGGGGTGGGTTTGGCCCAAAATGTAAGGTAATTGGAAAACTGGAGATAGTGCAGCAATAAAAGATCCTTGGTACTATTTGTCAATATTTTAAAAAATAAAATGTATAAGGTAGGAATAACCTTTAATGCCTACTTTCTCTTTTTAAAAAAAATGTTGTCATATAAATCTGTTAGTGGGATTGCAATGCAAATAAAAATGTTAATTTTATGGCCTAACTTTATTTTATATTCTGCTTTTATAGAAAATGCAACAGTCATCCCTAACCAAGTGTTCCAGCCCCTCGGCTCTTGTCCTTGTAACCTGACAGCTGGAATTTGTGATATTCGTTGTTGCTGTGATCTGGTACTGATTACACATTTAATTTTTAAGTTATTCCCTTTAAAGTTTTATGTCACCAGTACTCTTAGGGAAATACAGCAAAGTCCACTAAAATACCTGAGAAATTATTTGTTAAAATATTGTGGATTAGTATCAACTGTCTGTCTTTGAAGAGTAAGTACATCACTTTAAAACAATATAAATAGGGGACTTCAGTCACTAGAAGTGTCCTAAGCACTAAATTTCACTGGAAACACTGTTTCTGTTATTGCCCTCTGGTTTTTAATGATAGAATTTTAAAAAGGGAAACTTGATATAGTGAAAACACTTAAAAGGCCATACTCCGCTCAAATGTTATGGCTCTGCTAAATGTGTTATGGAATACAACATTTGTGTCCATATTTCCATTTTAATCTTAACTCCTCATAGTGCTAGGAGACACTTCTTAAATAACCCTGGTATGTATATCACCTGCCATGAGAGCGCATCCTTGGTGAAGCAGAAAAAAAGCCCTGTCATGTTAAACGACTTCCTTTTTCTTTTTATTTCAAGGAATGCACGCCAGATTTGAAGCAGTTGTTCAGTGGATCATGTTTTGCTGGAGTGTTTGGTGGGAATGTAAACCTGCCTTTTGACCAATTGTGCTCTGTTCAGACAACGAACAGTGCTCCTGACTGGTTTCCCTTCTTGTGTGTACAGTCTTCTCTTAATAATACACCATTTCTTGGCTACTTCTACCATGGCTCTGTGTAAGTTTTAATAAAAAAGGGTCATAGTGAATGTATCGAATAGTTATTATATGCCAAAGAAGTTATGCCACTTGTGTAATGCGAATAATGTTGTTTACAGGAACTATCCAGAACTAACATTTTAAAATATATGCATTATTTAAGTTTTATAGTAAAACGTAACTGTGTGTATGGATTTTGAGGTAATATGAAAGAGGGAGATTTGAAAGAGATAATGAGTAATTATTTGCATTGGATAGGTGATACACTAATCATTTATTTTTTTAAATTTGTTTGCAGTTCTTCATCTCTAGTTTCTTCATTTAAGATTCCTTTGCAAACTGTTCCAGAAAAACCTTTAAGTGGTTACAAACAAGGAGATCCAATTATGACAACAGAGAATGAGTATTTTACAATTCGTCAGGTAATAGCTTCATGTTAGCAGTATTTGGCTTTTGTTTTTTCTTTCTTTTCCTTATTTGTCAGTCTCACTGTCCGTCTGTCTCACTGTATAGGAACAAAGACAGATACAAGCAATTCTGTGACTAGCTGTTTTGAACTGGTGAAATACACTTTTCAACTAGCACAAAATTCACATTCAAAAAATAAACATCGTCTTTCTACCATCAATTTTTTCCCATATAAAATTAATATTTTGAATTTAACCAAGAAAAATACACTGTCAAGAAATATAAACAAATTTGGCATGACTTAAAATTTTTAACTCTCTGTTGCTTTTTAAATTTTTTAGGGGTTCTTAACATATTTTTTATATTCCCTGCCCTTTAACTGAAAACTTTGTTTATTTTCTGTTACCTCAACTACCCAGGCTTTTTCTAATTTTCTTTACATTTTAGAATTTTCATTTTAGAGTCACTGATTGTAGTTGGTCTACAAATCAGAGTGAAACCTTGAATTAGATTGTAATATTATTGAAAGCCGTGTTTTAAAATCTGATTCTTTTTATATAAATCATTTGGTCTAACAGCATGCTTGTTTTGAGATAAGTGTAGGTGGGCATAGTACAGACACTGTGTGCAATGAAATAGCTGTGTGCTTTTTAGCTTGAACAGTAGAGCTAGAATAAATTCCATCTTCATATTCTTTTCTGTTGAACTGCATGCAGCGATCCATGGCTGGGCAGTGTGTTGGAAACGCCCCAGTAGCATTCCTTCAGAATTTTGATGTTAAATGTGTTACTAGCCTGTCAGCTTACAAGGAAGGATTGTCTCATAATGTGATGATAACCAGTGGTACTGGAGGTATGTTGTGTTTGCTTTGACAAAATGTACTGATATTGGTTTAAGAATAGATATAGTAATGTTAAAGTCCTAAGATTGACAATATGATATCCTGCATTATTTTTGTTATGATCTAACAACTTCTCCCTTGCAAGCATTTTAGCCATTCAACTGTTGACTGACTGTTTATTGTGGCAAGCCTCCTGCTGTAGGGTCCCCAGATTCAGGATATGAGACTTTGAGCTTGGGCTATGACTTCCTCAGTTTCCCCTCTCCCACCAAAAACAGATTTTGACCCCCCATCGAGAGCATTCCTTTCATGTATTCATACTGTTGTAAGAGCTTTTTTTTTTCCCAGCCAAGGGCAGACACTATCCTCCCTTTAGAGTTAGCCATAAGTGGCTTCTCTGTAACACTTTGTTCTCCTAGTGTAGAAAGCATTGTCTCCTGGGTCTCAGATATAGTTACATTACCCCCTGGCCATTGTGCCAGCATGAGGACAACATATCTTAAGTTGTTTGCCAATAAATTTTCAAGGTAAGACATTCTCTTTACACTGTAAAATACTCCCCCCACCTCACTTCTTGTCACATGTTGCACTTCTATGGGAGTATATTAATCCTTCAAAACACCATACATTATCATTTAATGAGAAAGATCTGATTATAATTAGAAAATACAGAGTGTCAGTATCATTACTGCTCTTCTGAAAATGTGTATTGTACAACTAGTGGCTTAAAGTGTCTGGGCCTAATTCAGTCTTCCTGTTGTACCTGTGTATCTGAGGGCATTGCTTGGGTCCGTTATATCACTATGGATCTTAATAGAGCAACTCAGCAAAAATAGCTTATTTTGTTGTGTCATATAAAGCATGCTCTTTCAGAGGAACCTGTTGTGGTGTAACGACTGTATAGTCTTTTACTAAGAGCTGCTGGTTTATTTTCTAACTCATTCTTTTATAGTTTAATAAATCCTCTACCTTGGATGAGGAAACAACAGTATGAGGCTGTGTCTCATTTGCTAGTTAGACTTGCTGAATTTACTGTTTTTCTTGTCAGACACTGTCCAACAAAATGTGATCTATGGGAATGTAACTGATGTACGTAACTTCATCACTAAACCAGGTATGTTTTCTGTACTCATATTATTCTTACCATTCTTAAAGAGACAAGGAGTTGATGATTAAGTTAAAATGTTAAAAGAGATCTTTGCAATTACCTGAAACTTTAATTTTTTTTTGTTTTTTCTCTTTTTTATTGTGCTATGCAAATTGAAAAATATTAGTCTTATCCATCTCCCTTTGAAATCTATGTAAAGAAGTCTATTGACTTTAGTGGGAGTTGGATCAGACCTCTAGTCCTTATACATCTTAGCCAGTCGCAAAAGTAATTTTATAGAACAAAAAATGAACAGTTGTAATGGAGTTAAGATGTAAGGATCCCTTTGGCTATATTTAAAGTTTACACTCAAGTATAATAATTGAGCCCCATCCACATGCAGATGTATAGATTGGTATTTTGAAAGACCTCCTTTCTCATTAAATGTATCTTACAGCCAGTTGATCTACACTTTCATGTAGAAGATCTCCAGGCTAGAAGAGTGCATCATAGATGCTCTGAGCTGGTATGGTATCATAATAACTAAACACTAAAACTGAGGTGTTTTTGTTTTTCAAAAAAAGTTAGAATGAAGGCTGTTATGCCCAAGATTTTGTTAAAGATAGTTTTTTATTGCATTCTGAGGAAAATCTTCCTTAAGGCATAATAACCTCTTTCATTAGTATGGTTTCCATCATTTGAACTGTTCTTTTCTTTGCAGAAGACATTCAGTCTACTGAAGTTTTATGTATAAATGTGACCTTTGCAGAATATTATATGTTCATATGGAAAGGCAAGACAATAGAGGAAATAAATGTCACAGTCCTCATTGGAGAATTATGTGATGGAGGTACTGTAATGCATCTCTACAAAATTGCTTATTCAGAAATAGTTTTTTTCTCAGCATAGAAGTTTTGTGAAAAATACTTTTAATCAAACATCAGAAGACAATGCAATTTGAAATAGAATTTTCCATTGGGCTAAGAAGAGCCGGGTGGTGTCTGGTTGGTATATTATTTGTTTTAGGGTAGTTATTTCTTAGAATATCAACCTCCAATCATTGATTGAGTACTGTTTACACAAAAAAGGCGTGTCAGTGGCTTGCATTGCTGGATTTGAGAAGCTTCACAGAAGGTGTTAATTAGCTTCTGAAATCATATAATCGTATATGAGCATGCACAATCCAAGAGTGTGGGTCTAAATGGCAGCTGCTGGTTGATGTGTATGTCAGTTAACAAGACTTTTGTGACGGGGGGGGGGGAGAGAGAGGGAGTTTAATTTTTGATGCAATTGCTTTTTTAAGTAACAAAAATATTGCAATGGACTACTTTTTTGCTAAGAAATTATTTACTTTTTTCTTTTAATAGAAATACTGACACAGAGATTTTCAGTAAACTTTGTAAGCTTCAATAGTACTAATACAACAGAACTATCTGGGAATCCAGGTAATACTACTCTGTTTTATTTTAAGCTTCTATTGGCTGATGGGGGGGAGGAAAAAAAATCTTTTTTTATTGACAGCCATAACCAGTTGTGCCCAATTTTATTTCTTGTATCCCTCTCATTTCGTCTTAATGTTGATCATCACAGCCTCCCTGTTTTCTACCCTGCCACTGTTAATATTGATAATCCTGAAAAGTATCATCAGATATTGTGGAACTAAAATATTAGGGTCTGATCGTGAAAACACTACCAGGCATAGTGCTTGCTACTGTGAGTATTCCCATTGAAATGATGCATTAGCAGTTTTCATCCTAATGCTCCCTTGAATGTTGAATTAGAATCTTGCTCTGTGGCTGCATAGGAAGATAGAAGAGAAGAGGCTTTCTTTGCCCTCTTTCCTCTCTTCCATTGTGCAGCCAGCTAACAAAAGGTAGAATTTGGCTCTTACTGTTTTCTGAAAGTCGTTAATACTCTTTTGTTTGAAGTTAAACCATTCTTGCTGTAATGAAAAGTTCTGTTTAGATGTGAAACTAAGCACCTAATCAGTCAATTAGGGTTCCCCAACACGTTCAGAATTGTAGGAGACAATACTTCTAGCAAAATGAGAAGGCTTCATGATTATACTACTAGGCACTTTTAGAAAGTATTTTACAAACAGTAACTAATTCTCACAACACTCTTATGGGAGAGTAATTGAGACTAACTATAATACCTAGCTCTTATACAGTGCTTTTCAGCAGTAGATCTCAAAGCGCTTTACAAAGGAGGTCTGTATCATTATCCCTAAGGTCACAGAGTAGCTTGGGAGCCAAGATTAGAATCCAGTAGTTCCTAGCCTTCATTTCTGAACTCAATTCACTAGACCATGGCACCTTTAAGAACTTGGGGAGTTTTATGTATTATAAAAATGTTTGTCAATGCTGATTAATTCTTATAAAACTTTCACAATTTCTCTTTCTGTGTTTAGGTTACCAAGTTGGCAAACCTGTTAGAGCGGTAAATATTTCTTCTGATACTGTTACCGCTCTAAAACTTTGGCAGCCAGGTACTACCTTTTGATATGCTGTTTTAATCACAACTACAATATAAACCAAAAATACTCTTTTATTATGTTTTGCTTCATTTTTTTTTATGTTGGCCTTCCCAGACTGCTCTGAGTTGCTAATCTAATGTTTCTTGGAATTTAGATAAATTTATAATAGAAACTCCAAATACAATTAAATATACAAGTATAAATCAGATTTTCCTGTATCATAATTATATTTTGTATATAGTGCTCTCTCTTGAATAAAAGACCACTACTGAAATACTGGAAAAATATACTAACAGGTAATATGAAGTATTGTCATTTATATGGAAATGCAAGACATACGCAACAAAAGAATTGAAGAATCTGTAATTTTAAAGATGCTACAAATGAAAATGGATGGACACTTAAGATAAATAGAATTTTAGTAGTACTATATTTGAGCTAAACTGTTTTAGCATTCTAAATCAAAGTAGCTTTCTACAAATTTGCAAGCTAGAGACTGAAAAGTTGATATGAGAAACACAAATGGATGTTTTCATTTTGTAGTTGGCAATGGTTTGTGTACATCAGCAACTTTCACACCAGTTCTGTTTGGATTAAATTCACTGTCTGGATGCATTTTAGAAGTGAATATTAATGAAGATTGCGGTCAGTTAAGGTGAGGTATATGTGGGTTGTCCTGTCCTCCTATTTCTCCCCCCCCCCTTCATTTGTGGCTTTAAATATTTATAGAACTCTTATCTTAGCATTCAAAATAAGAAACCGATGCACTTTAACTAATTTGATATTATTATAGTGGTGGGTTTTTGTTATAGGTGTCTTACTTTAGCCGATGCTGCAAAACAGTTCCCATACAAGCCTCTTATATCCACACATTCATATTTTTCTAATTACCAGTATGTAACTTTTGGGTTTGAAAATGGCTATTTTTAGTGCCTTTTTAAAGGGGATTTTTTTAGTAGTTTCAGCAAAATCTTTAAAATTGTTTTGGAGTTGGGAGAATGTCAATAAAATGAATTTTCCCCATTTAAAAAAAAAGACCTATTTTTTTCACTGGAATAACTCAAATAGCTGAAATTTGTTTTTTGTTAAGTGCCTGTACTGAGAATTTTGAAACTTCAAACTACTAATAAATATCTCTTGTTAAAAATCCCCATGGGCCCCCATTTCTATAATCTCTGAGGACTCCACAATCTTGAATGTATTTATCCTCACAACACCATTTGGAGCTAGGGCAATGCTTTTATCCCCATTTTACCGATGGGAAACGGAAGCACACAGGAAATCTGTGAGAGAGTTGGGAATCAAACCTAGGTCTCCAAAGTTCCACACTAATGTTCAAAGCACTGGACTAGCCTTCCTCTCTAGGGATGGGTACTTAATTACAACAAATGCTGGATACCCTTGTTTTACATCTCATTCAGAAAATGGCCCCTCCAGTAGCATAGCAACTCATTGCATCATGCCTGGGCATGGAGTTTACTGGTTCAAAAGGAAGTGTGTCACCTTACTGAGTCATCCGCATCAATTCCAGCAGCACTTGGGTTTTCATATTGGATCTCCTGTACAAGTACTGACAAGATCTAATAAAATCACAGCCCAGAGTGGTATAGATGTAGGTTTATTTGTAATGTATTACAACATGAGTGTTTTGCAGGGAGGATGTAACTGATAGACTTAATTCATTAATACAAGCTACTCATGTTGGGAAGAGAGGCAACTCAAGTTACAGTGATCTAAATGACTTGGTGGAAATAATACGTAAGTCAAAGCTTCATCTTGTTATCTGTATCTTAGATTAATATATATTTTAGTTTTACTTTAAAATATTCTAATCACATTGTAGTTTCTCTTATAAAACCATAGTAAAGGTGTATGGTAACTGTTTTAATTTCAAATTATGAGAAATCCTCTTTTTCTGTGTACATGCAATGCCATCCCCCCACACATTAAATATAAATACTGATACTATGGAAAAAAATTATGACAATGAGGAAATAAAAAAATGCCAATTTATGTCATGTGTACAGATTGGTAACATTTTATTTTTACTGTCAATCTCAGCATTTCATGTGGAACCTCTCTTTTATCCAAGGAAGAAAAGACATTTTTGTGTTATTCCTATGCAGTATTTATTAGTATCTCACTGCATCGTGATAATGTTTAAAATATGTTTTTATTTTTATTTTTTTTCAAATCTAAGTAACTCAGTTTTCCTGAATAGGTTTAGATCCACCTAATCCTAGTGCAAATGCAAGTGTTGGAAATTTGAACGGCATCTGCTCAGATATTCCTGCTAACCTGAATATTCACATAATCACTGCTGATGTGGGTGCAGTAGAAGGGATTGCACAGGAAGAGATACTCGGTGTACAGATCAGGTACAGCAGAATCATGATGGTTGTTATATTTCATTAATATTGTGTTCAAATATAGTTGGACAGTGTTGGATAAATGAGACCAAAAATATGTAGATTTAAAAAAAACAGTTGATTACAGGTTTTTCATGATTATCTAGGGTTTTGTTTGGGTTTCCTCTTCTCCGTAGTGTTTGCAACGCAAATCCAGCTGCTCTAGTACATAATCAGTTTCGCTTTCTGGTTAGCTTGTTTTCATTTTCAAGGTGAGATGTGCAAAAAGTAAATTATTGGTGAAAGATAAAATAGACTGAAACTGAAACAATTAAAAAAAAAAAAAGGTCTCCTCCAGTGTTGCTAGCAACAGCAGTAAGGAAATGTATTACCAGGGCCGGCTCTAGGATTTTTGCCGCCCAAGGCAAAAACAATTTTGGCCGCCCTTCCCCCCCCCGTTTTTTAATTACCCCACCCCCGGCCCCGCCTCAACTCCGCCCCTTCCTTGCCTCCTCCCCCCAGGCTCTCAAGCCTAGGAGGGAGGGGGAGAAGCGGCGCCCGCGCTGCGGCCACTCGGAGTCTCCCCCTCCCTCCCAGGTTTGAGAGCCTGGGAGGGAGGGAGGGAGAGCAGCGGCGTTCGCGCGCCGCGGCTGCTCGGGATCTCCCCCCTCCCTCCCAGGTTTGAGAGCCTGGGAGGAAGGGGGAGACTCTGAGCGGCAGCGGCACGCGAAACGGCTGTTTTGCGCGCCGCGGCCGCTTGGGATCTCCCCCTCTCTCCCAGGTTTGAGAGCCTGGGAGGGAGGGGGAGACTCCGAGTGGCAGCGGCACGCGAAACAGCTGATTTGCACGCCGCGGCCGCTCGGGATCTCCCCCTCCCTCCCAGGTTTGAGAGCCTGGGAGGGAGGGGGAGACCCCGAGCGGCTGCGGCGCGCGAAACAGCTGATTTGTGCGCCGCTGCTCCCCCTCCCTCCCAGGCTTGAGAGCCTGGGAGGGAGGGCGAGTAGCGGTGCGCGAGCGGCAGCAGCAGCGGAGGTGAGCTAGGGCAGCCGGGGCACATTTTTAGGGGCCGCATTCTGGCGCCGGCCATGCCGCCCCTAAAAATGTGCCGCCCCAAGCACCAGCTTGTTTTGCTGGTGCCTAGAGCCGGCCCTGTGTATTACTTTAAAATATTATTTTAACCTGACAGTCTCTTTTTATTAGCAGCCATGTTTCTCTCTGGTTATAAATAACTTTACTTGTGTAACTTCACTTGATACACATTTGTAGCAAGCTATATATTTGAAAGCCTGATAAGTGGAAAAACTCCGGAAGAAAATAACCAAAACTCATAAGTTTCAAGTGTCAAAAGCTCACGTTAGCAGTAAGTTTTTATACATTCCATCTCATTAGATGAAGATAATATAAACCTTTATAGGTAAAATTTTCTATTGTGTGTATGCCAAAGTTGTGACAGCAAAAAAAAAAAAAAAAAAAAAAAAAAAAAAGCATTTACCCATTGTCCATGCAAAATGAGCATTTGTTTGGACTGGCAAATGTGCATTGTTGCTTAGGGATCCTACCTGACTGCTATTCTGAGTACTAGTCATAGCTCTGATACTGACTGACTGAGTTACCCAGGGCAAGCCATTTAACTTCTCTGCAATTCAGTTTACTGCTAGGTAACATTGGCATGATACTTACCTGAATCACAGTGTGATGTGAGGCTTCCATCAATGTTTATTAAATGCTTTGTTAGCCATGATGAAAAGACAATATAAAAGTGAAAAGCATTTGTATTAAACTCAGTGTATTGAAATTTTAATTAGGATCGAGGAGAGTGATATTGCCCAGCTCTGATTAAAATAGAGAATAACTAATAAAATTATGAAAATGCAGTGCAAGAATACAGCCATAGTTACACTGTAAATATTATTAAAAAACCCTTTATAAGATCAAATAGATGTCAAAGAGTATATATTTCCCATATAAATTACACTGATTGTATGTTCATTTTCTTTCAGTTTTTCAACAGTGATATGGCAATTCCAATGTGGGATTATCTGTGAAAATAAATCCAGTTCTCTTCCTATCACTGCTTCAGTCCAGTTTATTAAAGTACCAGCTCAACCACCCATTCCAATGACAAGGTAAGTTTTTATAGAAATCAGATATCTAACATCGACTATGAAGAAATGGAGTATTTATTTATTTGTTAGTCTCTAAGGTGCCACAAGTACTCCTGTTCTTTTTGCGGATACAGACGAACACGGCTGCTACTCTGAAACCTATGAAGAAATACCAAATTAAAATAGCAATAATAAAATAGTAAATTTGGTTTGCCAGAAAATAGTCATTAGGTTTGAGGCCTGGTTAGACTGCACTGAATCACAACTGTTCTATCAGTTAAGTGTCAGTTTCTGTGAAGTGCCTTAAATCCCACTAAATCAGTTGACTCTCAATGGAAGTTGAAGGGTACTCAGCATCTAGGGCCTCATCCTACAACATTTACTCATGTGACAAGTCCCTCAGTAGAATTATTTGTGTGAGATTCACTCAAATGGATAACGGGTGCTGAATCAGCCCCTAAACTGACACTTGTAGGTACATTCAAACAATTACGTTATTATTTCTAAAGCATAGTGTTTGTTCTCTTGCTACTAGAACCATAGAATTATATATGGAAAGGTCTGTTAGGTCAGCCCCAGTAAATCAAGCTTGTTTCTAATAGTAAACTTTATATTGCTTTGTCCAGTCTAGTTTTAAATTTCTCAAGAGATGAGACTTTCTTTCAGGAAACTATGTTATGGACTAAAATTTCTTACCATAAATAACTTTTTTCCATTATATTCAACCTAAATTTTCCCGTCTCAGTTTCATCCCAGTTCTTCTGGATTAAAACCCTGGTACTACCCCGAAAAGAATCCTCTTTGTTGGTGTAAATGTGTGCTCATCACAAGAAGGAACATTCCCTTAAATCATCCCATGGCTAAAAATGAGAGATATTGATCAGAAAGGAAGTCTTCAGGTTTCATGCTCCTGTTTTAATTGATCTTTCATGAAAAAATAGTTTCATGAAGAAACAGCTGTAAGATTATTTAATCCAAACAGCTTTCTAATTTGTTTTCCCCTTTATTTGCACTGGTGCCTGGTTGTACCATAGTTGCAATTTAAATTTTTTTTTTAATTGTGTTTGTAGATTTCAGATTAACTATACAGAATATGACTGCAATCGAAATGAAGTTTGCTGGCCACAACTATTTTATCCATTGACATGGTATTACACAGGTAAAAAAGTAGTGTGTGTGGAGTACAATGTATTATCAGGATTTCTTCAAATATTAAAAAAAATCAGTTAAATTACATGATGCTTTGTAATAGGGAAGTGAAGTTCTCCTGTCTTTTGGAAATTGCGAGCTGTAAAGTATGTTTGTTAAATTGTTCTTTACGGTTCATGATTGGATTTATATTGTATCTTGGCACATAAGTGGGGAAAAAATGAAGAATAGTTACCAGACTCAGTACTTTGTCAGTTCGCTTGGGGTTTATTGGTATTTTTAAAATGTTGTTTTAAGGAGAGTAAGGTTCCTTTTTTAGCCCCTTCAAAGCTCTCTATCCCCCTGTGGCGGGTGTACGACTCACTAGCGCAGCGCCTTCTGCTGATCGTCCTAAGGATTAGCTCTTCCTAGGGATTAGCTCTTCCAGCCCAGAGCGCCCTCTGCAGGCCGGTGTCTTGCCTGCCGCTGGCCCCCATGTCCCTCCCGGACCCCGGTGTCCCTTTATCTTGAGAGAGTGTGTCTCTTAGTCTCTGGCCCTCAGCCCTCTTATAGGGCCAGCTGTGGCCTGATTGGGACATGGCCCCACCTGTGGTTGCTTCCCCCAGTCAACCTCGCATTTCTCCGCCACAGCCCTCTCCAGGTCTGCTTTAACCCCCCCAGGGCAGGAGCGGGGTGACCACCCCACTACATCGCCATTCTGTTTAGTTTTCTTTTCTTTCTGGCCAACCTACTTTATAAAAAAGAATGCATGGCTTGCTCTATAATACTGGCCTATTAGTCTGTCAAGTTCTGTATTCTGCCTTTGCCTGTAGCATTTGGCAACTTCCAGCTAATTGAGTTAGGAACTCCTGTGTTCCAATCCAGGCTTTGCCATTTTGGTAGATCAGTTAACTTTTCAGTTTTTCCATTTGTAAAAGATGAGTATGATCTGCTTAATAGGGGGTTGCGAGGATTAAATAGCTGATGTTTGTAAAGCACACTAAGGCACTGCTTCTGCAATGAGAACTGCAAGGGTACAGAGGACTGCCCCTAGTGTTCTCAGCACAAGATTGAGGCCTCAAGTTGTTTTGTACTACATTATTTTATTCAGGTCCATGTTCAGTTGTTTTCTGTAGCTTTTTATCTTTGCCTAATTTTTAATTCAATATAAAAATAAAACTTTAGGGACAGGGTTTTCATATCCTTATATTTATTCAGATTTTTTTTTTTCTTTCAGGAGAACCATACTCTCAGTGTCTTGCCAAAGGCTTGATACTGGCATTTTTCTTTCTACTCGCAGCTGTTCTGAGTAATCCTTGGAGCAGAATCCTTAAAGTGTGAAATAATACTACAGTTTAAAATTTGAAAGTATAAAGAGAACAATTTTATTAATGTTTTTTTTACACTTTTGTATTCAACCAATGTTTCAATAGGTAGTACTTTTTATTACTTTTTTCACAAGATTTATAATTTCTGGATTTTGTATATTTTTATATAAATACTCAGATGTAAAATTAATGTCTGTTCTATATAGAAAATGGTTGTATTAGGTTTTCTAAAAAAGAATTTGTTAATTAAGGGCTAGATCCTGTAAATGGATCTGCCAGAGTGCATTCCTGTGACATTGATTTAGGAGGTGCACTGCATGGGTGCAGAAATGTGCTTGGATGGATTCATACCTAAACTGTAAGACATTTGAGTATTTACCGATAAAAGATAAAAACTTCAGTTAATGATTAATTCAAGTACACAACTAGTGTTCTCGAAGCAATTTAAGATTGAGCTTTACAGTTAATTTAGTTTTTCCATTTTGCTGGATCACTCTGGAAATAAATCATTTGGAATAGTAGCAATAATCCCAATGGAGTTGGTTTCCCATTTTAAAAAGCATCATCTAAAAAGTTGCTAAAATGCCTTATCTGACTTACAGTAGTAGTCACTGTGTTTATTTCCCTTTGTGATGCTAATTGTTGTTTAAAAATATATCTGCAAAGGAAAACAATTTCTCCTTCTGTACATGTTAACAAGAAATATTTTTTTAAAGAAAAGAATTGGCTGTTTTTTATTTTCTTAAGATAGTCTTGTTTTTCTTGCTTTTGCTGGTTGACGCCGTGGATAACTAGTGTGTAGGGTTACCATACGTCTGGATTTTCCCGGACATGTCCGGCTTTTTGGTCGTCAAATCCCCGTCCGGGGGGAAATTCCAAAAAGCCGGACATGTCCGGGAAAATAGGGAGGGGTCGTGGGGCTTGGATCCACGCTGGGGCCGGAGCCGCTGGGGCTGGCGCCGCTCGGCCGCCTGCGCCCCGGGGCCGGATCCGCGTTGGGGCTGGCGCCTCTCGGCCGCCTGCGCCCCGGGGCCCGAGCTGCTCGGCTGGGGCCGGTGCCCGTGCCCCAGAGCCCGAGCCGAGCTGGAGCCGCCGGGGGTGGGCCGGAGCCGCTCGGCCGGGGCCAGGGCCGGTGCCCCGGGGGTGTCGTCACACTGGCGGCCCTGGGAGCCGAGCCGGGCTGGGCCGGAGCCGCCGGGGCCCAAGCCGAGCTGGAACCACTGGGGCGGGCCGGGGCTGGCGCGCTCGGCTGGAACTGGGGCTGGTGCCCCAGGGCCCGAGCCAAGCTGGGCCCAAGACGCTCGGTCAGGGGGCTGGACTGGGCCGCGCCTCCTCGCGCTCCCCCGCCCCAGCTTAGCTGCTGCCTGCCTCCCTGTTTCAGGCTTCCCGCGAACATTTGATTTGCGGGAAGCAGGGGAGGGGGAGGAGCAGGGGGCGGAGCATTCAGGGGAGGGGGCGGAGTTGGGGTGGGGACTTTGGGAAAGGGGCGGAGTTGGGGTGGGGCCGGGGTGGGGAAGGGGGCGGAGTTGGGGCGAGGCCCCTTGGAGTGTCCTCTTTTTGTTATTTTAAAAAATGGTAACCCTACTAGTGTGGGAATGTGATGTTCTCAACTTTCTCAGGACTGAGAGTCACCTTTACCCCGCTGCCTCCAGTGAGAGAGAGGCTTGCTTGTGCTAAACTGGGAGTCAGTGCCTTGATACCACCAGTCTGTTAGCCTTCCAGACAATTTTCTCTGAGTCATCCTAGCCCTTACTCTGTTTTACAGGTTAACCTTAGGTGCATTCCAGTCCTCAAGCCCCCCCGAAGAGTTCCCATGTAGTGTTCAGCCCTTTATGCACTGAATACTCGCAGAAAACAGTATACACACCAGCTTGACTGATTCAACTCAGGGTCAGCTCCTTGTACAATACCTCAGCATTGAGATATATTTGTAGTGAAAACAATCATAAGTTTATTATCAAAGATCAAGATTCAAGAAATAGTGAGTAAGGATAATAAAACAAAATCAATACATGATTTCTAGAGACTAGACTTAACAGGCAAACCTCCTGGCTAGAACAGTTTTTTCTCAACCAAAACCTCTTGCAGACATAAATTCCACCTCCTCCTTCCCCCTCCCCTTCACAGGTGACCTCTTTACAAAAATATATATGTACTGTATGTTGTGGTTTGAAATAGATACATTTAGAAATATGCAGTTACTGCATAAAAGCAGGAATTAAGTCTAGGTTTTTTTGTTTGTTTTTTTTTTAAGTGGGATATATTAAAAATTGCCAGGAACTAGCCTATTTTACTGACCAAAATCGCCATCTAGCCTGGTATCTTGTCTTAAACAGTGGCCTAACACCAGTGCTGCAGCAGGAGGTGACTCAGCTCTGCACAATCAACCTGGCCAATTATGCACTACACTGCCTGAAGATGGAGTTGTGGGTGGAAGTTCCAACTGATGATCACCTGCCTTGAAGAATAAAGATTAATAGATCATGTAACTTTTAGCCTATTTTTTACTCATCTGTATATAATTCTTTAATTGAAACTGGGCTCTTTAGTTTAGTATCTTGCAACTTTGTGTTCTATAGGATAATTATGAGGTGTATAAAGCATTTATTTTCTTGTATCCATTTAAAATTTAAGTGCTCTTATGGGACATGATAAAAAATAACAGCTTACTTATCTATCTAAAAGTATATAGTCTTTATAATCTCTCCCCACTCCTCTTTCTAAGCAAAAATATTTTGCTCTTCTAAATCTGTTCTTGTATGGAAGTTTTGCCATCTGTCCTAGCTAGCTACTGGATCATTTTAGAGGCAGAGTTGGGGGTATCTGTTTCATGCTTGAACAATTTGAATGAGATTGTAAAGAAAAATGATTGAGTAATGGATATGACAGTAAATGTCTCAATTATGAATAAAAATATCTCATTCACACAAGTCTCATTTTCATAAGGGAGAGGCTTTAAAAATGACTGAATTTTCCCAGTTAAGGAGTTTCCTTACCTCCAATGGATGAGACTTAGAGCAGGCCTGAGAGGTAAGGACAATCCAAGATTATGAGGAAAGAAGAGGGCAGTTTATTTTTTGCTGATGAAGCAGATTTTCTGTCCTTGCATCTCCCTCCAACGGGCCTGGGGATTTACTTTAATGCTAGTTTCAAAGTCCTCCCCTTTGGGGTGAAGGAAAGTGTTTTGTAGTTTACTGAGGACTGGATCCATTTGCCACAACCATCCCTGATCTACATTTTGCAAAACCCAAAGCTGGCTAATGAGGTTTTCCAAACCAAACTGCTGGTTTTCAGTCCCTTCTTTGTTAGACATAAGATAATAGGCCCAAACTTCAG